ACAGTCCCACAGCACCGCCCCACGCACGACACCGCCCCACAGTGCCACAATCCCACAGCGCCGCCCCGCGGCCCCTCTGAGGTACGGCCGGAGTGGCGCGGGGGCGGCGGGAGGGCCGCTCTGTGCTGACCAAACCCTACAGGAGCAGAGCAGAGCATAGAAAGGCTTTCTGACAGCATGTGTTCGATTTTTGCCTCATCTTCTCTTTTCAGCAGATTTATTAAAGGGTTTTTCCTTTCGTCCCCAAAATTGTCCCTTTTTACTTCTTTAACAGCATCCTCCTCAGGTGCAGCTGCAGCTAGGCACTGATCGCACTGCAGGGGGAACAGGTGGAGCTCCCACAATACCGCTCTGTGAGTAAAGCCCTCGCTGCACCCAGGGCTCCCAGAAGTGCTCCCAGCAGGCAGACAGCACTCACCCACACCTGCTGGGAAGATCATTTTGGTGTTACTTCAGCAAGAACTTTTCAATACACACACAGCTCCCTGGAGCTGCACTGAGCTGATCCTTACCGGGAAGGGCGGACACAGCTGCTCCCAGGACAGACACGCTTCTCTGAATCCACGAAAACTCGCAGTTCCCAGTGTTGCTTCTGGTTTACCTTAGACAAAAACCCGAGCAGAGTTAGACACACACAAGGCTCAGGTACTGAAGCAGAGCTTCACAGCAGTGACCAGCAGGCCCAGGTGTTAATTTACAGCTATTAGTGCAAACCCAAACCCAAGAGGGCCACTGACAGCTGATGCTTCTCCTTGAAGAGAAGGCACCAGTCTGTTGCCAAAGCAGCAGTGGTAACCCTGGCACTGGTCTGTTAGGCAACATCAGAGAGGCAGTTTCTCCATTTTCTTCAGAAAAAAGTGCTACTGAATTTAGTAACATTGCAACAACACCTACAGCCAAAAACTTCAACAAAACTGCAGTTTAATTTCAGAAAATGTGTTAAAATATATATATATTTGTACATCAATTTGACACACTGTGTTAGTTTACACAAATGATGGTCTTTCTTGAAACTGTATTTATGAAATGTACATTTTTAATTTAAATACTCAGTATACACTGCACTTAATCTGCATGTTGCATTTATTAAATACATTAAAATCTGCAATGTAACAAAACGTTTTCTGCATACGAAATTCAAAACACCATTTTAAATGAACAAAAGATGGCTCACTTCATTTATTTGTTTTAACAACTAGTGCCTAGCACACTAGCTCAGCTCCACCAACACCAGCTGTTCTTTCTCTTTATTGACATTGTTCACAGACTAGTACATATTACACTAAGAGTGCTGGATAAAAACATGAGGTACGAAAGTGGTTCAAAGATTACAGGTCATGCAGATCATGCGAGACAGCAAAGAAAGTCGTGAATGAGAAAACACTAAATAAAAATACATAGAGAATGTGCATTATAAAATAAAAAACAACAAAACAAAACAAACAAAAAAACCTCAATTACACAGCTTTGCTTCTTTGGTTACAAAGTAGGTTGAACAATTTCACAGCTTTTTATTCCCACCCAAAAAAAAACCAAACCAAAAACGAAATGTCAAAAAGCAGAGGAATCGTGGCCCTTTCTCTCTATTAGAAAGTAGAAACAGAAATGAGCAAAGTTTTCTTCATCAAAATAGCCCATCACTTATTTATTATATCACAAGGACTGGTGACTACCTGTACAGATGCACTACGGTCTTCATACTTACACTCTATACAAAATTTACATTCAAGCTGGATCTTTACTACCGTAAATAAATACCAAAGGTCAATTGCCATTAGTGTTAGAAATATGCCAGGGTTCTTTGTTCAATTATTGCCTAGACATTGTATCTA